CTCTACCAGCAACAATTAAAACCTTTTATTAAGACGTTATGTATGCAATGTATGCAATAATTAGCGTTGGTCATTACAAGAGCGCGCACTTCGACATGAGTACATGAATCCTCTGGAAAGACAAGCTGAAATCGGTTCCGATGTCGGCAGCTAACAAGCAACAAAGCCGCAAAGCCGCAAAGGCGCAAAGAGCTGCGCTTATATTTCGCTAATTACTCGTGTGAATTATAATAAATAAACGCATAAGTTTCCATCTGACAGTGGTGTAAGAGACCGAATGAGTAATTAGCATTAAAATTATTGTAAGCCTGTAATTTTTATTAATTTTTTATAGGATTGTAATCAGAAGAATTAAAATTGATAAACAAACAAAAAGATTTAATGATGTGATGGACAAAATAAACAATTTTAAGCACTGCTCCGGACGTAAGTGACTAACAAAAATGGTTTGAGTATGGGATGAGTAAACTGACTGACTTACCTACTGGCCATTAGAATTAAGCATTTATGTTGGGTTAATTACTACTAACTCAACTCACTTGGACATATCAGAATCTATGCTCGTTAATTATGTGCACTTCTGGCCGCTGAAACAAACTGAAGACAAAAAGTTTTGCGTTTAAAAATGCGATGTCACTCATCATTGTTTGTGGTTATGGGGCCTGCAACAACTCTGCTTTTGAGCCAACTTAGTTGTGGGCTAAATTAATGGATGCACTGCTGCTCACAAGCGGACATATGAGTAGGTGCAATAACGAAACTCTTTTATTGCAGGAAAGCTGAGTGTTTGCAAAAATTAATTGAAAAGCGACATAATTAATTACAATTTATATGCCACTTGCCCATGGAAATTGCTAAGAAATGAAAACGTGTAATTGATTAATTCCAGTGCATAAATAGTGCATTTCATATGCGAGTGACTTTAATTGCCTGGATACACAATTTAAATAGAATATTATTATGAAATGAATATGTCTTCTTACGAGAATAAAACTATGCGACATAAATGCGTGAACAGAGCTGAATAAGTTAGTGATAGTAGATACCTGTAGCAGCCCGAGACACGTCACACTTAATCCTAAGTTTATGATACTTTAGTTTTAAGGCATGCTAAAGATGCTTTCATCTTCAACTGAGAAACCATTGTACTCATGGCAGTAACATGTGTAATATCGTCAAATGCCTATCCTGTTGATATCTGAAACACTTGCGGAAAAGAAATCCTAAACTGGATAAGGACTCAGCAGATAAATTGTATTTTAAGTATTTAAATCGGATATACACTTGTGAAAATGAAACTCTAAACTAATTGTACGTCACTTATCCACATAATTTATATTTTCATATTTTTCTTCTGATCAGTAGCTAGAGTCCAGAGTTTTCTAACGTTTTTAACTATCATAAACGCTAAACACCACGATGCGCTTAATACACGAATTGTATAATGCGCCGATAAAAGCTCCTATTGGAATATTCTAAGAAATTTCGTAGGTACCAGCCAAAGCAATGTGTTTGGGTATCGTTTCCTCTATGATAGAGAGTGAGATCTATCTTACACTTCCTATAGTTGAAGTTCGAAAGAGCAATTCCACATCTAATGAAAGTAAATGAACTGATTACCTGCTTAAATTTGATATTTAACCCTCTCTACCATGATACTTGCATTAAAGGAACTAACCTCAATTAGTCAGATCAGCCATAGTTGTAACCCCTGGTCTCAGTGATACTAGATTCATGCCTCCTTCTACACCCTTCCTGCAAGGGTGGAGAGATAAACAGTAGATCACTTATAATTTATCTACTGATATCTGATAGTCTGTTATGGAAGGGGAACTCTAGACTGGTTTAGTAGATAACAGACCTTTTTATCTTCATCCTCTAATCCATAAGTAAGACAGTAGTCGTTGAGCGTAGCCTATGGCACTTTCAAATTATTTCTTAAACGAATCATTTCCGGCGATAAAAAATAAGTTATATATGAGAATATCAAACGCAAGTGATCATGGTCAAACCCCAACCTCCACCAATGGCTTCAAAGCCTGAATTAACAAAACCTACTACTCACAACTTAAGAGATAATAACGGAAAACCGACTAGAATAGAATAGAAATTAAATACACATCGTAAGGTCACACACGTCTTTGTCGGGATCTGAACAAATTAACGGAATTCGGTTGGAAAGTTTCGATGGATCTAACATATAACCCAGATCTTGTACCATCTGAGCATCAATTATTTTGCTCTGTACAAAACTCTCTTGGTAAAAAAGACTTTACATTATTTGGTAAAGTCTTTCGCCGATAAACCACGCAAGTTTTACACCAATAGAATTATTTATTTTAAATAATAATGGTCAATATAAATTATATTAAAATAAATTTTTAATAAAAAAAATTATTGTTTAAAAAACTACAAAAAAACGATAAATACTTTTTATATCACCCAATAGTTTCTTATGACAGATGACATCACTCATGGACGGGATTGTTGTGTAGCAAAATAATATATATAAGTCTGGTACATTAATCAAGTGAACATTTTGTTTGTGCAAAAGTATAAAGTCATAAAAAATGAAATACTTTGTAGAACATAGTCACGAAGTGATCGAGTAAGAAACAAATCCATCACATTCGAATGACTGCACTTATGATCCTGCGTAAGCATACAGACAATAACGCCCTCAAGACCCATTGGAAGCAACAGTTCCTGTCATTTGATTTTAATTAAACAAAAATTTTGTGAAATAAACAAATTTCGGCTGTGGTGCAATTTTCAAATATTTCTGTATTTTTTTTTTTTTTTTGTTTTGTATTTTCACAGCCGGCACTTGTTGCACTAATTTTGGCATGTGCAACAAAGGCAAGAAAGGCAACAAATCTAAATGAAATACAAGTCAAGTGTTAAAAATTGCTGCCTCATGCAGTGTCGTCCAGTCAGCCCAGTCATGTACAAAGTGTGACTAAAAGGATTTTACTGAAGGAGACTTGGACATGAAAGTATACATACTCTATATTATATGAATTTATAAATTCACAGCTTAAATTAGAATCAAAAAAATTTTACTTTCAATACATAGCATAATTAAAATTAATAAAGTATTTTTTTTAATAAATAAATCAATCAATCTATATTTTAATATAAATTATTTTTACCACACAATCATAATTTTTTATTAATTACTTACTACTTATACTACTTTTTATTGATGGAACAGGGCTTAGAGACCTACTCTAAACTCAGAAGGGAGCAATGCTACATCCCTTAACAATAATAATAATCATAATATTTTCGATTATATCAATTTTAATTTAAGTATAGGTATAGGTATAGGTATAAATAAAAGAAGCCAAAAAATTAATAGGAAAATTTTTTTTAACAGTAGTGAATTTCATTAAAATTTTTAATTTTTAATAAAAATAAACATTTTTAAAAAATAGACTTTAAAAATCATATTGAATATAAAAAATTAATATTTTTATTTTAAAAATAAATAAATAAAAATAATATTTTTTCATTTGCATGCACAAAACTTTATTTTTTTTCTACTAAATAATGTTTATGCCAAATTATCGTAAGTTTAAACGATAGCATATTTTAATATATAATATAATTAGAATTAATTTTATTAAAGCGCCAAATCACACTTTAAAAGACAATCATTTAAATTTTTAACATTTTATGCAGTCTTTGTGAAATGTGAGCTGTACTGTTTCGACTGCCATCTTATGTGCAAATGTAGAAAAATTGAATTTCTTACTGCCAGTATTTCTGGTCCATGGTATGGTCAGGGTTTATGTCTATGATAAGTGTAGAACCCCGTTTTTGCTTTGCTGATCGAAGTGCACCAAGCGATGACTAAAATGTGCTAAATGTAGATAATGCAGGACTTTCTGTAATTTCAAACGCGCACACCATGCGGTGACTATGAGAATGTCTTTTTTTAATACGATATGCGGTTAAGTCCGTATTATTATAAACACGTTGAAATTCATTTAAATTTTCTTGAACAGAAAGAATTTGACAAATATTAAATTTACGCTACATTTTTCAGAGAAAAATTTTAATTCGGATCGCGAAAACTTTTCAGTTCCTTATTACTTTTCAATGAATTTTAACATTTTTATGATATATTCATTATTTTTTTATATTCGGTTATATGTCATTCAGCTAAGCGTACGGTCTTCTTCATGTGATTTTAGTTTGTATATAAACCACTTAAATTTCATTTTTGAGACAGTTACAGAAGACCGTATTAGAAGTAAGAAATATTGTGTTTGAGCTTTCAATTATTACGATCTTTGCACAACGCAGGATTTTTCTATAAATTTGCCGAAAAATGCCGCGTAAATTGAATGTTTTCAGCAAAAGGATTACATATTATATATTTTCTTAATATAGATAATATAATATACTAAACGATCTCTACTAAAGAAATTATTGATGGTAATTCCTGTCTGTAGCTAGAAATTTTAATTGGGGTGGCTTTCAGATAAAATATTTGAACGACTAACTTTTGTTTACCATTTAGTCATGTCCTGTTGCATTAAAATTAAATAGACATATATATACACATAGTCCTTTAATTAATTTAGGCTTCAACCTCTCAAATCCCTTCCTTCCTTTTCTACGTTTCTGATAAGTTCTCTCAGATATAACACTCATAATGAAAGACTCTATAAATGTGTATATAGAACAGCAATAGCCGCAGCAAAATACAAAACTATACAGAAATAAGCCAGTAATATTTATAATATAATGAAAAGTAATTAACTTGCATTCACATTTTTTTTATTTCCACATAATTTAATAGCAAATTACATATACAATTACATATATTTTTTTAATGTTTTTACATTTGCCTTTGAAAACAATTGACTAGATGTACTCTACTTGCATAAAAGTATATGCATTTTATACCATTAAATGCTAAGTATTTACCAAATACATATATTTTAAAAGATATAGATTATAATCATTATTAATCTAAAAAAACATTTTATCTACTTTAAATGATTATAACGCAAAATATCGCGATCAAAAACACCACTGCCACCTCGATTGTACAGCATGTAGTCATCGTTGACGTTATTAGTATTGCTCAATAGAGGAATATAACTGCCAATACTTAAATCTTGCTTCAGACGCTGATCTGGCCGACGACCCAATGAGAAAACCTTCTCATACAGATCCATGTCAAATTGTAAGGCACGATCGAAATCCTTCCAGTGTACAAATTTCACGTTATCGCTAGGTATTGCATCCTTGTCAATTAGTTCAATCAAAGTATTCGAATTGACCGGTTGCACCACACTGTACTCCCGGTCTGCAGCCGCCACAGCTGCTGGATTTAACAGCATACGTTTATTAAGAATTGGCAAATCATTACTGAACCAAGCAATGAGATCGTTTAAGTCACTCTAAGAAATAAAAATAAATTATTTTGGACTTCCATTTAGTCCGTTGTTATCTGGTGTCATTGGCTTACTTTGCTTGTTGTTGTTGCGGCACGACCTATACGTGGAATACTTTTCATATTCTTAAAAAAGGAACTCTCAAATTCTTTATCTGACCGTCGTCCTAAGCGTGGTATATTCTTTGAAATGGTTTTTAAGAAAAATCCAGGACTGTCATCGCCATAACCACGACTAATGAGGAATGAAAGCAAAACTGTTAGCCACACAAATGTGAAGCGGAATGAAGTCATTTTATTGTTCAAATATTTTCGTAAATCTCAACCAAAAATTTAGAATTTAAAGCTCATCTTCTGGAGTTTGGCAATCAACTGAATCCATCAACTTCGTTGTATCATTTTATATCATTTTTAATCGCTGCTCGCTTCTTACCAGCAGTTTGGGATTAAAATGGTTAGGGTAAGTTTATGTGGGCACAACTCTTGATAAGCAAATAATTTGCATTATCGATTTTTAAAAGGTGTTGAAATAAAGTTATTTAACCTATTTAGTTTTCATTTCTTTCGTTTAATTTTTTTTTTAACTCAATAGCATATTGTATTTTTTGTTTCTTTTATAAAAAATATCCAACATTTTTGATAGAAATGTACTACTTCTACTTTTCTAATCCATAAAATAAACGATAAGGAATGTAATTTATATGTGATGATGGATCAAAGAGATGATAAAAAATTAGTTACTTTAAATAAAACTGTGGGTAGTCTATAGCTTCATAAAATGTTCTTCAATATCGTCTAATTCAGATATGACTTTTGAATATATTATCTAAACTAACAACTAAATCCTTAACTGAATAGCTGAAGGATGATCAATTGGAGAGAGATGAAATTAAAAAATAGATATGCAACGTTAACTCTTAAGGGTAGGGGAAATATGACTCTTTTAAAAAAATTCCTCTTCTAATTAGACACGTCAAGTTATCTCTTAAGGGTTAGGTAAAGGTGACTGTTCCAGTCGAGCTCAAAGAGGAATTAAGTTATTATATAGGTATTAAAGAAGGATGATTGATCCATCCAAAGTCAGAAAGTGGATTTAAAGAAAGATGACCACACCAGCCAATTAGAAAAATTAATATGCACCGTTGTATTAAGAGTTAGAAAAAGATGACTGGTCTTTCCTAAATCAAAGAAAGTACATGCTTAAAATTATGTGTTAAGAGAGATGACTATTCTAGACCAATTAGAAAAATAGATACGCCACGTTATCTCTTCCGGGAGTAAGGAGAAACATTCCCATAGGGGTTAGAAAAAAATAACAGTTTCAATCAAAGTCAAAAAACAAATACGAAGCGTTATCTGTTAGAGGTGAGGAAAATATTACTGTCCCAGCCAAAATCAAAAAGTAAGTTAAGTTATACCTTAAAGGTATAAAGGAGTTAAGACGACAACTAAAGAAATAGTTAATTCAACAGCAAACTATGGTAAGAATATAACTACATAAAGAGCACGCTATGGCTTGGGCACTTAAACCAACTAAAGCATACAGCAATAAAATAATATTACAATATTCATAATATTGAAAGCAAACACCTAAATATTTATAACAATAATTAGTAAAAATGTATTCAAACGAATAATTAAATCAATAATTAAACTAGAAATTAAATTAATAATTAAATTACAAATTAAATTAATAATTAAATTAGAAATTAAAATAATAATTATATCAATAATGAAATTAATAATTAAATAAATAATAATAATAAAAACTCATTAACTTAAGTAAAAACTAAATTAAAGAACTTTGCGCCCATTGCGAAACTTCTGTTGGCAGCGCTTGATATTTTTGTACCGCTTGATTTATTTGTCCATATGTAAGTGCAACCTGATGCATTTCAGTTTCTTTGACCACTTTATTGCTGTTAGAGCCCGTAACTGGTAAGATTAACTCAATATTCCGTAGATATTCAAATGACTTCAAAATGACACCACGTTCAATGCCTTGCATTGTTGATGATACCTTAGCGAATTTTGAAAATCTTTGAAAAATTATTTCGAAATTGAACGGATCACGATCATATATTTCTGAATGATGTTTAATTGCTATAATGAGACACAATTCCAGCACATTCAATCCCAAAAGCATTTCAACTTTGTGATCCAATTCATACAACGTCACCAAGTCTTTTACTTGTTCCACCGTGAGCTGTGGATGCGTATCCACATCCAGCTGCATTACAAGTCTAAAAATGTAATTTTTTAGAAAAGCCTCTGTAACGTCATAATCAAACAATCTTTGTAACAACTGCACAACGTTATTATCGCAGATTAATTTACTGATTTGTGTATTCCATTTTCTAGTAAATTTTGAACTAAACTTATACAAAGCAGGATTAAAGTGATTGTATTGAAAAGTGATTTCATCTGATTCAAGTAGCTCTAAATTTTTAACTCGCGCTTTGTACTCAATTATCTCTGACTCACTTGGTATGCTTAAAAGCTCTTGGAATACTGTAACGTACTCTTCAAATTTATCAGCTTCAGGATATAAAAAAATCTGTCTAAAATATATATATTTAAATATATTTTATTAAATATTGTTGTATTTAAGTTGACTAACCTATGTGAAAAACGCGATTTTACACGTTTTTCTAATAACTCGACAACGTCTAAACGTCGTGTTATGCCCAACACACAAATGGGCGCCTGTGCCGATTGTGAAACATCAAATAAATTATATAAAAGCGTTTGATTGTGGTGGGTACAAAACAAATCGAACTGCTCCAATATAAATATTACACTTTTCGACGATTTATTGCCAGATTTAAGTGATGCTAATAGAAAGGCTAAATTTTCTGCAAAGGAGCCAAAAACTTTTCCATCAACTGCATTTTCTAATTTCATTTGTGTCGTTGCTGATTTCAGTGCCAGACGATCATCCGTATGTATGCCACCATCCAACACAACAATAAGTGTATTTGTTAAAAAATCTTTATTCGACAACAAATCTGTTATAACAGCATTAACAAGCTGTAGAAAGGAAAAGGTTTTTTATTTACTAGCACAACATTACTTTTATTAATTCAAATTTATGTTGTTTTCTTACTGTAGTTTTGCCTGATCCTTCTGGACCAATTAGTAACATCGAGTTAGACTCGCCATATTCTGCAGTACGTTGCAGTAATGTGCGTATGTTGTTCCGCTCATTTTCATGTCCTCGAAATGTGGTATAATCTCTTTGCAATCGTTCCTTTAGAAAACGTCGTAAATGATTTATTTCATGACTTTCTGTCGACATTTTTGAAGAGCACGAATTGTTTACATTTATTTAATTGCCGGCTGCTTGCCTATGGCGCAAAAACATTAGTGCTACCAAATTTATTAATAATTTAAACTCCACACAGGGTTGCATTAAATATGAAATTAACAAATTTATTTATACCTTGTTTTAAAGGAATTCGTTAATTGTCGTGTATATAAGTAGCAGACATTTTACTGAAGGTAGTACGCAAAGAAGATATAGAAAAGAAACTGAGAGGAAATTTTGAATCGTTGTGCTTCTTTGTGTAATATCACCAAAAAATCTCTTAACGCATTTTTAACGTCAAAGAACCAAAACACACAACAAAATTTCTCGGAAAGTGTCTTTATTTTAATAAACATTATGGTGAGTAGGAACCGTGTGTGCAAAATAACAAGACCGGATGGGGGAAATTATCACGTACCCTTGTGTAGCATTAAGCTTTTTGTTTTTGTACTGCATGATATTATCACCTCATTACCAAAAATTTGAATATTATTTGAATTATCAAGAAAGTTTTATACCCTTAATTCTTAATACTCTTAATTTCTTATCTTTATCTTTTTTGGTAGTATGTGTTCGACAACATCAAATTAATCATTACCATTTTTCCAGAAATAAATTAAACGTATGTGACAATAATATTAACGTGGTCTACACTATCTCCTCAGAATTTAATTTATTACAGTTCAGAAAAAAAAATTATATAACCACGAACAAAACCAAAAAACTCATCCAGAGCCTAGTCTGAGTGCAGCCTTGCTCTCCTGCTATCTTCTTCTCCAATAATAATTTTTTCCAGTGTACTGTTTATTTCGTTCCTTGAATTAATCTACCTTGCTGTGGGTTTCACCCATTCATTTGCCCAGATCATAGGAAATGATTTTGTCACTCCTTCGAGGTAAGTTTAGTGGGTTCAAATATCACACAACGACTTCTATTGCTTTCCACTTATCGTAAAAAGAAAAACAAATTCTGTTTTAATCTGATCTGATCTAGTTATAGAACCACTTCGTATATAACTGATGGAAATACTAATTCTTGGGCATGGAATTGATATTGTGGTTACAGAATTTTATATTTTTTGAAAATCTAAAATACTTCGGTGCTCGAGATATCGTTTTTTAAAGTTGTGAACTTTACACAATAATTTGCCAAATGATATCAGTTATTATATGATCCCATTAATTAGTTAATAGATTTAAAAGTAATATATAATCGCATCCTGCCTGGCTTGATATGTAGGGCCGTACCATACTAATCTCAAGGTGTTTTTATATATAATTTTAATTGCTGGAAAAAGGCTAATGTGAAAACTCTAAGGTTTAAAACATAACTGATTAAATTTGATTGATTTGTATCTACTAATTCCTTCAGTTTTAGCTAAACTATTGTGTCATATAGGTAAAACTTAACATAATGGTGGAGTTAAAAACGTACGTTATACTTTTCTACCACATTTTAAGTTAGAATTAACAAACAGATATATAAAGACTAAGTCATAAATTACGCTTCAACTCATTTCACTCAAACAAAAAACATATTGAATGTTATTTTAGAACTCTTAACGATCGAATAATTAAATTCAGTCATTATAAATACGTGATATATGCTGCATGCTATAATCTTCACCTCACATTATTCACCCAGCTCAATTTTTCATCGACCTACTCAATAATATGAGGTGCAAGTCCCCGCAATTGCTGACAGTTTATCTGGACGACTTCATCCGCGTTTTTCTTGTAACTCTATAATCAAGTCTCATACTGTAACTTTTGATGCTTTTCACATACTAAAAAAAGAAAAAACAGATAAGATAAAATATTTAATAAATTTTTACAATAAAATGCAACACTGCGTATGTAAAAATTTTGCAAAATAATTAAGACTTTATTTTAAATAAAAATGTAGAAAATAGAAAATATAGCAATAGATATCATATTTTTTTGTTTTTAATAAATTATAAACATAAAATACTTCAGTAGATAGAAGACATTCAATAAAATGTGTCAAAACAACTGCAAGTTATCGTAGTATAT